AAGGGGAATGCTTTCAAAGTTTCTCCATTTAGGATGATGTTGGCTGTTGGCTTTGTATAAATGCCCTTAATTATGCTGAGGAATTTCCCTTCTCTTCCTATTTTGTTGAGAGTTTTTATCATGAATGGGTGTTGGACTTTATCAAATGCCTTTTCTGCATCGATTGATAAGATCATGTGGTTCTTGTCTTTTGTTTTATTAATATGATGGATTACATTGATTTTTTTTTTCTAATGTTGAACCTTCCCTGCATACCTGGTATAAATCCCACTTGATCATGATGAATTATGTTTTGATATGTTGCTGAATTCTATTGGCTAGAGTTTTGTTGAGGATTTTTGTGTCTCTAAAGCAACTTTGATGCCTTGATACTCAGCCAAATTAATGGTTCCTTATTTCCTAGCTCATTTATTGGTCAGTAACCATAAGTTGCACATGACAGTGCATGAGCCCACCTATGTGACTTCCCTTTTGCCAAAAACATATGTATATATATATATATAGAGAGAGAGCATCCTTTACATGCCAGACATTCTACACATCTTGCTTTAAATTTTTACAAAAATCCTGTAAGATAGGAATTGTCATCATTTTCTAGAGTGGCACCTGAGATAGGAGAGGTTAAGTCATATGTCAAAGAGAACATTGCTGTTAAGCAACAGTATCCAGACACAGACCCAGGCCCCGCTGACTCCAGAGCCCACATTTGTTTCACTGCATCATATCATCCCTGGTAACCTGTGTTCAGTGGACAGGATGTCTTCTTACATTAGCAAGCATCCAGAGGTCCTCAGTTCTCCCTTCCTGACCTGTCACAGAGGCATCTGTTAACTGACATCTGGCATCCCATGTGATATAAGGCGGTAGATTGGTCATGTGAAGTGAATCAGTCCATGCCTTTGCCTGCAAAATTGTCAGCAACAGTGCCTTCTCTTATGAGATACGAGCTTCTAACTATAGGAACAGCCTTTTAATATAACATGTGTTTTCTCTGTTGTTAACATTAGTGCTTCTTAAGCTAGCTGTGGTGAAGAATCAGTTTTTTCATTTCCAATCTGTTGAAGACTGATGCTTTAAAAAAAAATACAATAAAAATGTTCCAGCAATGTCAAATTGCTATAAAAGTTTCCAAACCCTTGCTCTCAACTTCTGTACTTGTCGTGTTGTGGGCTGGTGGAACAAACAGTTGGTGGACCAACACTGGTCTGTGGATGTACTCTACTGTATAATTTAGGGAAGGCATAAACTTTGGAAGAAAGGTATAATTTCTATAAACTATAGATTTAAATTTAAATTTAGAGTAATAGATAGTGTCTCTGTTTAGCATTCTAATTTTTAATATGTTTCTACAACTTCTTAAAATTACAAAAGTAATTCATGTTTGAAACAAAAATTCAAATAGTACAAAAATGTCTAAAATTAAAAACGTTCCCCTTACTCCATCCCCACCCTCCAAACAACTATTACCAGTTTTTAGATTGAAAGTTTATCTCACATTCAGGAGAGAAAGCTGTGGATCAAGATTTATGAAGAGAGAAGGCTGGGAGAGGCATTTTAGAAATTCACCCAATTTTATACTCTATCTTGTGTTTTATTTTAAGGGGGAAAATATAACTTTCACGAATGTCTTATTGCTCTGTATAGATCCAAAGTAACGTGAAAATTATCGTTAATTTACAGTGTTTTCTGACACTGTTTCTCTTTTGTTGCAGAGCCAGATTACATTGATGGACATACCTGTGTTTAAAGCCATCCAACCAGAGGTCTGTACTTCGTCCTTACGCTCATGTACTAAGTAAGGTTGCTGCTGGGAAGGAGGATTTAGTCACTGTTAGTAAGCTCAGTTTCTCTCTTAAAGTCTCTCTAATTGCATGTTATTGTCTTAAGCACCTGTCAGTGAGAGCATCCAGGAACTTTCCATTCTTGGCAGTGTTCATTAGTTGAACAATGTGTTTGGGTTCTCCAGATGATGGCATCTTGTCTGGCCCACTCTGGCAGCACTGGGAGCAGTTAGTGCCCTTAGGCCTCTATGCCTGAGAATCAGGCCTTGCCACACCAGTTCCTTTTTTCAGGTTCCTCCTGCTGAAAACATTCACCTTCAAGAAGGGGATGTAAGCAGAATGTTTTTCTAGACAGCTTGCTTTCTTTTTGCTGATCCCAAAATCTGGTGGTTGCCTTGTTTCTGTTTTTGAAACCAGTTGTCCCAGCAAAACTTGTACATTATTAACATTAAAAGCATATGTACAGTTTTAGAAACAGCATATTTAGTAAAGGGAAAAATGTTGATTTTACTTTAAAAAAAAATTCTGGAAATGCTTAGCATTTGATAACAAGGCTGTACAGTTATTTCAGCCAGGGTTCTTTTTTTTTTTTTTTTTGAAGCAAATAATAGAAATCTATTTCAAAGTAGTTTAGTAGGGAGAAGAGGGATTGATTACAAGGAGAAAGCGGCACTTTGCAATATCTGTAGGCATGGAGTCCAGTCAGCCTGGAGAGCCACCCAGTACTCAGGCAGTCTCTGCTTCTTGCCTATGAGTTTCCCTCTCCCTGCTGTCTTTTCTATCTGTACATGATATCTTTTCTATCTCTTGGACCTGGTCTCCCCAAAGGGCCCACATTTATATGTTTCATTTAAGCCACTGTCCCAGACTGAGATTAGCACCTCCAGTCCAGCTCAGTTTAGTCACATGTCCAGTGCTGGTCCAGTCACCAAAGGTCAGGAGTATGTGGTCAGAATGAACAAACATGACTGAGGGAACCCAGCCTTGTGAGTGAGATACAGGTTTCAGAGAAGAGGGTGTGGATGGAGAGATATGTCAAAATGTGTACGCTACACACAGGGTGTGAATTCCAGAAAACTCTTAGCATAATGTCCTTCTTCTTAAAATACGGTGACTGTTAAGACTTTAAGAAAGACAGAAGAATACTTTGATATTTCCAGGCCTTCTTGGAACTGATATCTAACCTACTCCAAATGAGGAGGAAACTATCGCCACTAGCTGTGTTCAGCATTTTATGTGAAGACATGGCAATGATTTGTATTAGTGTGTGTTTATTAGGTTTGGGGAGCAAAGTTGTTTGCTTTTTTGAATTGGCTGACTGCTTTTTTCTCTTCTGTTTAAATGTGCAGCTATCTATTCTTTTTAATTAAAAAACAAAACAAAACTCACTAGTAGATCCATTGCATATTGGAGCCTTTTGGGGGAGTAGCTGTGTGATCTGATCTGGAGCTACTTGTGGATCTTTATTCTTTGTCCTGAGGAAAAAAAGGTGTGTAAATCATCTTCTGTGAGCCCTGACTATAGAGTTTCTAATGGAACAGCATTGTAGCCTGGGAAATTGCTGACTCACCAGCCTCCAGTGGCCTGCATGTGCCCAGGGATGATGGAGGGGCAGGGGGGAAGGGAAGACTCTTTCTCTTCAGAGGCACAAATAGGGCCACATCAAGCCTTTCCTTCAAGGCACTACAGTTTGGAAGGTGCCTCTTCCAAGGCTATCTTGGTTTTGCATATCTTATTTCAAGTTGTGACAAGACATTAAAGTGGAGATGTTTTGCTTTAAATATTTTAGCTTGGAGCATTGGTTCTCAACTGTGGCTGTGTAGAATCACTTGGCAGCTTTTGAAACAGGGGGTACCCGACTGCACCCTAGACCACTGAATCTGAATCTCTGGATTGAGGCTGGAACCCAGTCAACCTTATTTTATAAAAGCTTACCAGTTAATTCTGATGCATAGTGAGGATTAAGAACTAATTGCTTCAGGGTATCTGGAGAAGCCCCAAACTTGAATGTCTTGGATCTATAAGGTATTAATAGCTAAAAATGGAAGAGTTTGCTCCTCATTGTCGTTGTCAAAACTGTGTTTGAAAGGAGGACCCTGTGAGCTGCCCCAGCCATTCTGTCGTTATTGTTGTTAGCAGACTAAAAACAAATTTTTCCCTTGGAGATGCCTGCCATGTTGTGTCTGGATCACCCCAGAGTTAGAAGGACATGAATAAGAGGGACAATTTCAAGTCTGATGCAGGCAGGCTTTCCAGGAAGCAGAGGCCAGCATCTGAGAGCAAGATGAGCACTGTGAGTGATCTGGACTCTCAGGAGATTAGGGAACATGTGGACCAGTGCCTTTCAACCCTGGCTGGGTATCAGAATCAGCTGGGGAATGCTGTAAAACTACAGATGCCTAGGTCCCACCCTTGGAGATTCTGATTTCATAGGGCTAGAGAGGGGCTGGGGAATCTGCTTTTGAACAGCTCCCCAGTGGTGCACAACCAAGGATGAGAACCAGGGATGTAAATGATTATAAGACTGTTAGCAATTTACTTTGTGAAATCGTAATTCCCTAAAGATTTGTCCTTGCCTAGTTAGTAACATGACTTTTTTTTTTTTTTTTTTTTATTGTACTTCAGTTGAAGGCTTACAGAACAAATAGTTTCTCATGAAACAGTAGTACACATAGTGTTTTATGACATTGGTTAACAGCCCCACAACATGTCAGCCCTCTAACTTCTCAACCTTTTCTTTTTGGTGAAAATACACATAGCCAAAGATACACCATTTGAAAAATTTCTACATGCACAGTTCAGTGACACTGACTACGCTCTTCCAGTTGTGCTGCTATTCTCACTTAAGATGAAGGCTTACAGAATAAAATAGTTTCTCATTTAACAGTTACTATACATGTTGCCCTATGACAATGGTTAACAATCTCACAACACATCAACAATATCCTTACTCAACCTTGGGTTCCCTATCACCAGCTTCCTTGTCCC